AGACCTGAAATATAGTCAAAAGTAAAACAAAATAGCCCAGCTGGTTCTCTTGTGGGTGATTTAGGTATGCCAGAAAGGGAAAAAGGGAGTACTGTGCCAAGGGATGAGGTTCACCCCTTCCAGTACCCTTTATTGGCACGGATTAACACTAGGATAGTGGTTATGGCGTCTAAAAGCTTCTCAAAATCAAGAAGGGGGACACTAGGAGAGCAGGGAAAACTGCAGTAAGTCAAGCGAGAAGAATAAAAGGGTGACAAGTGCAACTGTTGTCTGAGGAAATTTTGAAAAATTGCAATTCTTTCTCTCCATAAATTAATATGATACCAAGCTAACTTTTAGAATGATTTCCTTTGCACTAATGTCTTGGGATCAAACTGTTATGGCTTAATAGCCAATACCTAAGAACTCTCGATCATGGTAATCTATAGCAAAAATATTAAGTATCAGGATTTTGCCCAGACTGAGATGCCCATTAATCATAATTTTATAGCATCACAAACATGATAAAACAGCTATCTGTATTGCCCATCAGTTTCCACATCTGTCATGTGGAGCTTTAGTGTGATTGATTTTAATTCACAATTGATGTTGTATGTTATGCCTCAATAATTCTAGTTATTCATTTTCATTTTAACATTTTGTTTTTAGCCGGATTGCTTGGATGATCTGGCTTATGCAATTATGTATGAGATGAGCAAGTTATGTTATCGAGTTTCTGAAGCTGATGTTACTCGTGCTTGTAACCAGGTAGTTACCAGTTCTTGTACTGAACCTTGATATTATCTGCTTGCTTGTCCTCAGTTTTTAAGTGCTTTTAATAAAACTATATTGCGTATATCTATATATATATATATATATGTGTGTATATTGTTTTGTAATTCAAAAACAATACGACATATATGGCTACCACCCTAATTTGTGGATCAATATGCCTTCCATATATGCTCAGGTCTTAAGTCTTTATTTCTTTATAGTTGAGTTCTGGAGATAATGAAAGCCATAAGTTATGGATTGAACTTTCAATATACTTCTATTAATGACTAAGAAATATTTATAAAGTTGGGGATGTTTAAAACTGTTTTTGGTTCACCAAGTAAATAACCCTTTACCAAGCATCCCATATTTTGCCTGTAGTTATAACTTATCTTAGATAAGTATTTGTTGTGACAGAGTGAGTCAGAGCTACATCATTTGTTGAATAAAATGTGTTATCCACATTTTTATTACACATTAAAACTAAAATATGGACAAAGGAGGTGTGGTAGATTAACTTGTATCCATGCAACATGCTTAGTTTTATGAAAGGGAAATCGATTTTAGCTTGGCCACTTATTTTTTATCTTGTGGTGTTCAGTATATTGGCATTCACTTACAGTTCTATTGCACTGCAGTTGAAATCTTCTTTGCTGCTTCACATAGATGGAACTAGTCCTGTTGCTGAAGATATTGGGTGCCAGGTAAAGTACTTGATGCATTTTCAGTTGGCATTAATGAGATTGCTGAAAACATGATGGCTTTTAACACCAACTATAAGGACACTGGTCTATTTGGTGTTTATGCCATTGCCAAGGTGAGATTATGCCCTATAATTATGATTTTTTTAGTTTCAGGGCCTTCTTTCCCTCTTCATATTAGGTTCTTTCAAATTTTTGATATCTTTTTGCCATGACTCTATATTTTGTTAGCAAATTGAGAACATCTATAAATCACTCCCTGAAATGATTGGGTTGTATCTCTTGTTCCCTCTTGTTCCATTTCTTTCCTCAATCACTTTTCTGATGGACTAGGTCCCCATTTGGCACTACTGTGTGTTTAGCTTGGAATTACTTTTCTTTCCCTTGAAATAATGCTTTAGGTTGTGTTTGGCTGCATCTTTAATGTACTTTGATGTGTAGAGGCTCCCCTAAAGGCACTTTTTTAGTGAAATAAAACGTACAAGAGGATATGCAAGTGCTTTTGAAGTGAAGCTTGGCACTCAACCAAGCTATAATCTAGCTGCTGCAGAATTCCAGAGCAGAATGTTGCAGTGTTTCCAGTTCTAGACTGTCTCGTCATATGAGGTGAAGAATTCTTCTCCATCAGCCTCACACATGACTACAGTTGCACAAATCTTTGTTGATTTTATCAGCGGAATAGGTTGAGGTCCGGCGGGCGGCTAAGGTGAGGTTGCCGCCCGCCGGGGAAGCGAAAATACTAGGGTTTAAACCAGCTCTGATACCATGTAAGAAATAATGTATAGAGAAAGAGAGAGAATAAATTGTATGTATTATTATTGATTGATATATTAATGTTATGGTTACAATGATTCCTATATATAGGAGAGGGTGAGTGTGTAGTAGGTGAGGAGTAGGTGAAGTGGAGGTGGTAGTGGTGTAGTGGGTTTAGTGGAGTAGGTAAGGTGGTAGTGGTGTAGTGGGTTAGGTTTAGTGGAGTAGGTTTAAGTGGGTGAAGTAGGTGAGGTGAGGTGGATTTTAACATAATGTACTTGTTAATTGCATAAGTTCCTCTTCTTGCTGTATTGGCATCAAGTTGGAAATTACAATGCATTTTTTTTGGAGTGGTTTACAATACTTGGATATTAATCAGGATGATTGGACTTGGGCCATACCCTTGCATCCTTGGTCCAAATATTGTGCTTGAGTACAGAAATTTTCAATTCATGTGGCTTGATATAACATACTTGTGTGATTAAAGGCTTGTGGTAAGTTGATAATGATATATCTGTTATGAATGTATCTGTGCATATAAAGCACAAAAGTTGCGGCATGAAACAAAGCTATATGGATGCTGGAAATCAGTTTAACATACTACAATGACATTATCTTTCTTTGTCTAATGTTGTTATGTGTTTGCCTTGGTGTGCCTTTTTTAGAGACATAGATGTATGGATACCTTTGATTCATTGTTAAATTCTCTAGTTGTTTTTGTGGCTTTCTTGTCACTATATCTTGATGACTTTGCTCTTCCTAAATCTGCTATTTTTAACCCAGTCTTATTCATTTGCTTTTTGTTTGTCTGTTATAGGAACTGGATACAGATCAAGTTTTGAAGCATTTAAAGTACATAGAGATGGTATGTATTGGCATTCTTATTTCAAGGCCCTCAACATTTGTAAATAGTTATATATTGTTGTGAGTTGGTATATGTGAAGGGCGGCTTGGCCTAACGACAAAGGCTTGCTGTGAGCGTCCTAGTGGCATGGGTTCAAGTCACATAAATAACCTTTTTAGAAATGGGGCAAGGCCCCATACATGTTTCCCTCCCTAGTCCCTTCTTTAGCAGGGGCCTCATGCACCGGGTCACCATGTTGTACGTTGGTATAGTTGCGAGGTTTTAATAACATTACCAGCATCCTTCACCCATCTCTTAGTACCATTGCATTTATGAGCCAATTTTATTACTATCATTGGTGGCAAGTTTGAACATGTAACCATTTGTTGTTAATGTTTCTTTCGTTTTCTTTCTTCTTCTTGTTTCCCCTCCCCTACTGACTCTCCACTCGGTAGCACCATGGCTCGAAACAAAGGAGCCTAGCACATTGGTTGGCCATGTTGCTGCACTTGGTCTCTATGTGCCCCTGCTTATTATAGGCCCATAACCCCAATTGAGAGTTTTGAGATCCCTTTGTTCAAATTGCGATGATGTGGTGCCAATGTGGCGTGCCACATGGCGATGGCCATAGAAATACCCACACCAAGAATCTGCAATTTTCTTCTTCCTTGTTATTTGAAAAGAGAGATGTAAACGGTGACTACTGTGTATTGATCATGATCAAATTATGTGAAGTTATACTTTGGTTTCATATACGGTTTTGGTGACAGAAATAAGGCTGGAGAGAGTATTTTAATTTTGCATTGGCTTTTGACTTGGTGGTGGCTAACACTGTATCAGAAGAGGGAGGAACATTTGATAACTTTTAAGAGTGGGTCAATTAAGAGTCAAATAGATTATTTCTTAGTGAGAAAAGTGGACCGCTTAAAATGTAATGATTGTAAGGTGATTCCTGGAGAGAGCTTGACCTCTCAACATAGGATTTTCGTACTAGATTTATGTTTTAGAGGGCAATACCAAGCTAGGAAGGATGGTGGGCATCATAAGACGAGATAGTGGGACCTAAAAGGGGATAAACTAGAAATATTTAAGAATAGAATGGATAAAGAAGGTACTTGGGATTTAGAAGATGATGCTAACATTATGTGGAACTTCGATGGCCAATTGTATGAGGAGAATCTCAAGGGAAGTGCTTGGAGAGTCGAAAGGAACGGGACCCAGCTCTAGGGAAACTTAGTGGTGGGGGAAAGAGGTTCAAGCGTTAGTTAAGGCAAAAAAGAGTGCTTTAAAAAGTGGAAGAATGATAGAACTGAGAAAAATCTTAAGAGCTATAGATTGGCTAATAAGGAGGTCAAGAAAGTAGTGAGAGAGACTAAGTTGAAAGCTTATGATGACCTATACACTAGACTAGATAGTAAGGAGGGAAAAAAGAGGGTATACAAACTTGCTAAGATACGAGAGAGGAAAACAAGAGATTTTAATCAAGTAAAGTGCATCAAGAGTGAGGATTCTAAGGTATTGGTGAAGTATGAAGAGATTAAGGAAAGATGGAAGAACTATTTTGAGAAACTATTAAATGAGGAACATGGAGGTACAACAATAGGGGGAGAAATGGCCAGTAATACGATAAACTAAGACTATAGGTTTTATTGCAGGATTAGGAACTTTGAAGTGGAGATTACACTTAAGAATATGAAATCAAATAAGGCTTTAGGACCCGATGATATCCCTATTGAAGCTTGGAAGTGCTTGGGTAAAAAGGGGGTTGCTTGGTTGACTAGGTTGTTTAGCGAAATTTTGTTGATTAAGAACATGCCAGATGAGTGGAAGAAGAGTATTTTAGTGCCAATATATAAGAATAAAGGAGATGTCCAGAATTGCAACAATTATAGAGAAATCAAGTTAATGTGTCATATAATGAAAGTGTAGGAGAGGTGATAGAACGCCGATTACGAGATATAACAAAGGTGTCAGAGAATCAATTTGGATTTATGCTTGGCAGGTCAACAATAGAAGCGATTTATCTTTTGAGGAGAGTAATAGAAAAGTATAAAGAAAAGAAAAGAGACATTCATATGGTGTTTATCGACCTTGAGAAAGCATATGACAGAGTGCCACGGGATATAATATGGT